CCAGAGCCAATGGAAATCCTTCTGAAGGTAAGAAGTTTCTGAGAAAACTACCATCCCTAGAAATATAAGTGCCATGGGAGCAATTAGCTGAAGACAAATAAAAGGCAACACTTAAAAAGAGTCAACACAATTGCTAATTTCATTTTTTTCTTTTTACTTGAAAACTTGTTTTAACCATCAAATTTTGGCAGTTACAAACCTGTACACTGTTGGTTTTTTTTTTTTTTTGGCTGTCTTTTTTTGTTTTTCTTTTATTTTTTAGAAAAAGAACACAAGACTGAATACTGCCAACAGCATTATATGCACAAAAAAATCTATTTCCATAAGGGACAAGACCCACTTTAAGTGTTAGCTTTCCCTTTGCATAACGTTTGGTGTGTGATGTGTGTGCAAGTTTAGGTGAGTGCACGTGTGTGAAGAAATGATGTAATTCATTCTGAATCCGAAATGGCATGAGAATCAGGTATTTAGTAACTGAGCAAAACACACTTGTTTTCTAAAATATCAATAAAAGCATTTTCTTGGAAACAGAGAGAGTTAAATGAAAATAGTAGAACCAAAGAAAGGTTACAGTACTTTTTGAAATGTTTTAAAAACATCATTTTCAAACGTAAAATGCTTTGTGTGTGTGTGTGTAGTTACCTCAGAAGTTTGCAGAACAACAGCATGGATGACTTAGAATTATATTCGACCCCCCAAATTAAAGCATCCTGATAGGCATCAAATACAGTATATCTACAAAAGCCTGGAAAATTGAAACCATTATATACAATTTTATAAACATTTTAAACACCAAAACATACATCTTTTACAAACCAGCCTGTTTGTAACAGTAAATTTACAAGACAATCTCTCTGATGCAGTGCTTAAAAAGAACTGCTTCCATTTCCAAACACATTTGAACACATTTGTCACTTCCCGAAATGCAGTATTATGGGCTCATAAAATTGTTAAATAGTAGCAATTCAGGTATTTGTTTGCCAGAAGGGTACTACAGTACATACTAATGGGTCCAAACACGCTCCAAATGACTCTATGATTCTCGAGTGCATTCTAAACACTGGAAGAGACTAATTATGGCCTTTGTGTAATATTACATACTTGTAATTATTGCTTTTTCATTATTACATAAGGAAAGAAAATCTTATTCTTTTCCTGTCTCTTAGCTAGCTGGCTAAATGTTAACTGATGCCAAATCCACACATGGAGACTTTAAACCCCAGAATTATACAACCAGAAGCTTAAAGACATAGTGGATTTCCACCAGAATACTGTGCAGTTGAACATTGCAGGACAAAACCCAACACAAACACAGAACCCGCCTTCTCACAGACCACACAAAATGATGACGCTAAAGAAATGCCTCTTCAAATCTCCATTTCTCATGGTTTGAAGCTAAAAACATAAAACATAAAAGCCTAACCACTTTAGCAATATCTGTGCACTGGGAAGGCAGCCGAGTGGACAGCCCAGACAATTATCTGGGCAACCCATGCAAAATGAACACCAGATCTTCCTGAATTATTTCCCATGAAAGTGCTTTCTGGGTCCTAAGTGATTTATTTTGCTAATGTCTATTCCCCGACGTTGATTAGGTAGACTCAGCGTTAGTGGGGGCAGTGGGCGGGGTGAGGGTGGGAAGTAAACAGGAGTTGGCCAATAGCGTTTTCCTTGCTTTTTTTTCCCAGGCTCTGCTAGTGATTCCCTAGGGTGGTTCCAGGTAAGTTCCAGGAATGCATCATCAATTCCCTTTCTAGGTCTTCACCCTGATTGTCTGATAGGGTAAACCTCAGATGCATAGACCTGACCTATTCATATCACTAAGTCTACCTCAATGGCATTTCATGAACTGGCAGGATATGAGTACGTGGAAAGCTGGCGTGGAACGAAACTCAGCAGAAAAATACTCATAGAAGAGAGCAAATAAATTCAACACCTATTTTATTTATCTTTTACAGCCCTATAGCTTCTGCTTACTGTATGACAAACATCGCTAGTCCAGCTATCCTCAACCTAATCAGAATGTGTGCATTGCAAGTAAAATGCCTACAATAGGCTATGGAAAATGGCTTCCAGAGGTAGCACGTACATGTTAGAAAAATATGTATGGGAAAGATACAAATTGGCTTAAATCTTTCCCACGTGGTTCAGCATGGTGAATGGGTTAGGAATAAACACCAGGGCGGGGATGGGGGAAAAAGAAGAAAAATAAATGCACCTAGTAGGTAATATAATCAAAGTTTTACTGAATTTGCTGACTGGTCTTAGTTCCATTCTGTAATTATCATTCCATCCTCATTTTAGTAAACATTCATTTGGCGAAAGCAGTTTTGATAGATGTCCAAAGAAATGTGTGAATTCTGTAACTGCACCTTTCCTGTGGGGGCTGCAAGGAAACCTAGGATCATGAGGCTTCCAGAAAAATACTCTCCATGAGTTCTCTCTTCTGGTATATTCCAAAGCAGGAATGGTGAGAAATCAGAAGGTCTAGCAGAAGCAGGCCAAATGGATGGGTTCTAGTTCTTGTTCAGCTACTTAGCTGCCTGTGTGAGCTTGGGGAAGTCCGTTCCCCTCTCTGGGTATGTTTACTCTTTTATAAAATAAGGGGATTGGACAAGCAGACCTTAAGGACCCTTCCAGCACTTGAATCAGTGGTCACCCCACCTAGTTCCATCTTGGCCTGACTGCAAACCATTTCAGAATCTACTGGGAAAGCTATCCAAAAAGTGAAAAGATATCACGAGTTTAAAGATAATGAAGTATGACACAAGGTTATCTGGGATACATTTAGCTACAGAGCTCCTCTGCAGAAAATCGGGGACGATATCCTGAAGAAAGAGGTATTTTATACAGGTCAGAGCCAAGAGTGGGCACAATTTTCATGGGTGATTTCACAACCGCATTAGGGTCTATTTATTCCTTCATTACTGTGTTGGTTAGGCACTCTGCCTGGAGGGGATGCTGTGTAAGCAGGACTGACTCATGGGCATTAATCTCCTTCTCATATTTCCTGGGGGCAAGAAATGAATTGTTGGTTTTACTTTGATTGTTTTTTATGTCATTGCATTATCGAAAGTGTAGCAGCAGTTCTATTCTAGACCATTAGTTCGTCATTTTCTCCATGATTCTTGCAAATGGTTTCTTACATAAGAGAAATATCAAAGACTTCATTCTTCCAAGCAGCCTTAGTGAAATTCATTTATTTCAAGACCACAGTGCAGATAATGCTTCCATGAGTAGGTCTGACTAGGAGATAGGAAGAGGAGAAAAGCTGAGAAACCTGTGAAGTTTATGCATATACTCAGGAAGCTTGGGAATGAAAAGGAGTTTTTTTTTTTTTTCTTAACCACGATCTTTCAGAAACACTGACTCCTGCAAAGAAGTGGATTGAACACAACTGAAGCAATTAAAAATATGTCTGAGTGGATGACACACAGATCAGGACAGTACGGTGGACACACCAATGCCATATGTCATCAGAAACTGTGGACACAGAGATTTGCTCATATGCAGACAGTGCAAATATGCATTTATTTAACCATGGCCGCTGCGCCCGTGGCCACGATCTGATTGAAGCAAAAGAGGAAAGTCACTCAACCCGTCAACTTTAAGCTTCGACTACCAGGTTTTTGTATTTCCAGTGGGCTGATTCTCCTGTCAAATTTGGAAACTCAAGGCTGAAGCCCACAGGTCAGATGAGAGGAGAACCCCAGGTGTAATGAAACTTTACACATTTTTCAAATGACAGTTTAGTTCTGGAAAATTATAACAAAATACAGTTTTTTTTTTCCCTAAGAAAGCACAGTTTTGCTTCAAGTTCATATAAATGGCAGTACCAAAATAAAGTTAACTGAACCAGAATAAAATACGGCATTTGGTGTTTCTCTAATATCATCAAGATCAGAGAAATTGGAAGGTTGGCCTCATTGGCAGGATTTTTAACATAGTCTATATCCTAAAACCTTCCCGTCAGCTTTCCTCAAGAGCAGCCTTATTGAGTGCAAGCACATATTTGTACATAGGACCAGAAACACACACTATTATAATTTACACACATGAACTATCTACTTTCTTCTCCTTTTTAAAAAACATAATTGCATTTATAGTGATGATGCTAACAGTTTAAAACAACACGTACCTTTTGTCTGCATTATCAAGAATTGTGATTATCTAGCTGAAAACTTTGAAAGTATTATATTTTCTTTTTTTTCCCTGAATTTGTGAATTCTGCTTAAACCTCTCAATATCTCTCATTCTAGAGAACAATGTACCAAAATATTCCTTTATTTGTCTTTTTATTTCCTGATTCTCAGAACAAAGCCCAATTTCTGCAGCAATGTTAAAATTAAAGTTACAGCCAAGAATATTTACTGGAAAACACAAAGACAGATAATCACATTCTTTCTAATGTTTGCACAACCTACAAAATGGTACCCAAATACCCTCACGTATTCCTCTTCATTGATATCTTTCTCAAAGATCATAAAATCCAACTATATTATATTGGATGCTTAACACAAACAAACAAAAATAACTGAGCATACTAAACATGTTACCCAAACCTAATTTTATAGCTGAAAATTGGGCAGCTTATTAAAAAAAAAAAAAAAAAGTTGATTTGAAAGCCTTCATCCCATTTTCTTATTTATTTAATAATATTTATTCCTCTTTTCTTTTGCCTAAGAGACTAACTTTTCCAACAATCATAACTACTATTTTCATTCCCCCCCCCATTGGCTCAAAATTACATGCAACAATGCCTCTTGGCTTGTTGCCAGTTATTAATACTGCAAGGACCGATGCTGTAACACTTTTCCAGGGCACAGTACTGCACAAAGCCATACAGATGGACTGTATAACAATGGGTGAAATTGTTTCCCCCTTTAAAAACTAGGTGCGTCTTGTCGGTCACGAGCGCAGGGACGCACTGCCAGGGTGATGGGTCACCTCTCAGAAACAATTTCTGAACCTTTCCTTTTCAGCCAGCTAGAGTTGAGCTTGCTTGTGACAGTATGGCTCGGGAAGAAGTTCCCAGAAGAAAATACCGCATTTCCCGCTCGCTCAACACAGGACCCTTCGTGGAGATGCGAGCCCAGCCAGTCTCCCTCCGCGTTTCTGTAACAAACCGCGCGCGCGTCACCCGAGCGCATCCTCTACACTTGGGTCTGGTGCTGGGTCTCCATAAAGGGAATGTGAAGGCTGGCGAGGCTGAGCTCCCCGACGCTCTCATAGTCACTCATGGCTACTTCAGAGTCTTCGAAGCCGCAGCTGGCTGACACATCCGAGGACGAGGTGCCTCTGGAATTGTGCAAGGAGAGAGACACACTGTCTGCTGGGCCCGCTGCTGTCTCTGTGCCCTGGTTCATGCTCACGGCAAAAGTACTGAATTCACAGGTGGCGGGAGGGCCCACCAAATCCGTTTCGTTGGGGAAGGGGTGGGGAGGGAGGTACTGGCTGGGATGGAACTGGGGCCTTCTCCTGCAGTCTGGGCTCAGCGTGCTGGCCAGTGAGACCGGCTGGGAGGGCGGCAGGGCCTCATACTGGTCCGGGAAGTCCTCTGGCAGGGGTGGGGGCAGCTGGTCCTGACTCAAGAACTCCTCTTCGTGGGGGGGTGGGTACTCGCTGTCGATGTCGTAGCCGCCCAGGTAGTAATCGCTCTCCAACTCCCGCGTGCTGCCCTGGTGCGCCGAGCCTCCCTCCTGGTTCTCGTAGTTGGGTACCTCTTCTATGTCCGACAGGCGGGCCCCTGGCATCCAGTCAGAGGTGTCCCAGTGATAGGCTGTGAGAGAGAAGCCGTGTCAGTTAGTTTCCTCCAGAATGGAGCTGGAGTCAGGGCTCAGAAAGGAGCAGGCAAGGAACCTGACATGCAATTCTTAACGTCCAGGAGACCCTAAGAAGCCAGGGTCACCCGCATGCTTTTTACAAGGGTCTCTCAGGACCAGCCATGCTCTGGCCCGGGAAGTACAAGGCAATGGCAACTCTGAGGATGACACCTGGTTGCTGCAGCATCTCCCACTCAGCCATGCCGGAAGCGATGGCCAGCGAGGGCATGCCGAGCAAACAACAGTTCTAGAACCCTCTCTCCTCTTCCTAGCCACAGGCTAAGTGCACATCCAGGCTGGCAACATGCTCGAAGAGGTAGATGCATCAGCCGTCCTGTGGACCACAGGAGGGAGGGAGATGTGCGTGCAAACAAGTGAGTTGCTGGAGCAGGGGAGAGGCTGGGGGAGGGAGGATGCTGGGCTGGGACTTTCACCTCCAGTACCAAGCACACAAGACACCTGGAACATGCAAAATTCAGATCAAAGAAACTCAGAAAAGATGGAAGGAGAGTGACAGGGTAAGAACAAACTCAGCAATTCCAAACGCATAAGTAACATATTATGCTGGGGGCATGGCAGAATCACCTCGGTTGTAGTTCTGTCCTTGATCCGTGACAGACACTGTTTAAATACAAAGTGAGAAGTAAAACTGACAGTCCAAGTCATGTGAAGAAGGTACAATAGAACATTTTAGAGGATGTAAAAAAATGTTCCTATTTCTCCTTGTTGTTATTTGCGAAACGAAAAGATAAGTCGCATCTGTACCAGGCCCTAATAGTATTAAATCACTAATAAAAGTTACCCGATTGAAATCAATTCCCATAATATTGTAGTTTTGAATGATTTCTTAAATATCCCCAGCTCACAGTAGGTGCTCAATCAATACATGTTGAATGTAAGAATGAATTTAGTATTAATCTGGATTTCGATTAAGTGGGTACTCTTCTCTCGGAAGGGATTTTATAAAAAGAGTACCTCACATATGAAAAGAACTATGACCTGGATTTTTTTTCGAAATTGTAAAATTCACTCCAATCCAGAGAGAGACGTTCAGCGTCTCATTGAAACCACCTGTACCACCCCCTCTGCTGCCAACTGATTAAAATCACCTCTAGTTCATAAAATAAATAAGCTATATTGTACAGCACAGGAAATACAGACAATATTTTACAATAACTATAAATGGAGTATAACCTTCAAATATTGTGAATCGCTATGTTGTACACGTGAAACTTATATAACATTGTACTATACTATACTTCAATAAAAAAAAAAAGTCACCCCTAGTTCAAAGTAACAAGGAAGTGATATTTCCAAAAGGTTAACTCTGCACAAAGAAATGCTATGGAAGAAAACAGTAAATACCTTCATTCTCTATAGTGTCAACTACATTGTTGACAAGCTGAATGACAGTCACTATGGATGCTTGTGGCCAGGAAAAGAAGACAGGAGGGAGGAGAAGGACAGCTTCAGGTTAGTTATGTATTTTAAACATACATTCACTTGTCTTAACAACAACAATGGTAACAACAAAGGCACAGCATGCAAACACCCAAAGCTTCCCGAAGTCCATCCGTTGGACTCCAGCGGACACTTTCATCCCCCCGGCTTCTTGGAGGAAGGGAAACAGCAACAAATCCGGGGCCAGTCCTCCTGAAAGGCACGATCGGCAGGAATTGCTGGGTCATAAATTCACACCTTGTGGCCCAGTAAAATCAATCTAGGAAGGCAAAGGCCATCAGCTTACGCTAATTTCTCATTAGTGACTCCCAAAGGCTCCAAGGAAGACCTCACTATTCTCAGGGGTAAGTACTTGCTGGTCAGCCATGCTGCTCTGAGCCAAATGCCAGTGATGAAGGATAACCTTTGCAGCACTGATGGTTTCACGCTCACATGACGTCACCGATAGCCTAGAACGACCTGAGGCCCAGATCCCACCCGTAAAGTGTAGATGAGAGTCAGCATTTGGCCTCTGAAATAGTCAGAAACTGGGAAGGAGATTTCTGTGCTCATATGGGTTGCCTGAGCACCTGATACCAGTAGCTTCTGGAGAGGTGACCAGGCACTTTAGGAAGCCTGCTTTAGTCAGGACCAACCTAGAACGCTAAGCCTGAAAGCCCAAGTGTGTGATGAAGAAGAGCCTGTGAGAATAGTCAACCAGGCATCATCGCTGGAGCTGCTGCCTGGAGTTTGGAAACACTACGTTCTTAGCTGCTTCTACATAAAATGCAAACCAGCGACAACTTTTCTTCTGGCTGGGGATGAAGAAGGGAGTAAAGAAATCTGGAGGCCTGCCTCTGATCTTCTGAGATTGCTCAGAAGAAATCCACTGTTACATGGTTTGTTACCCCAATGGTCAGATACACTGAGGTTTCCGCACCTCTCAGGAGTGCCAGGGATTTGGGATGGAGGTGGAAGAGATTTGGGGCTGGTGATGGGGAAAGCAGACTATTTGACTTCCATGACTGCTTCTCTGGCCTCGGGGCTCCTTTGTTCCTGTCTTTACCTGGGGCGGGCCGGGGGCGGGTGGTGGTTGGCAAAGACTATGTCATTTTCATTTTGTTCTTCGGGCTACAAAATGCCCAGCACAGGATTCAACATTCAGGAGAAACTCAGCAAGGGTTTATGGGGTGAATGATTACATAAATTATAAATATCCAATTTTGCCAATTGTTGATAAATGGGAAAGTAGCATAAGGTATAGACTAAGGTAAGCCTGCCTGTCACTGTCAATGACTACTTGAAATTATTCTTTGTTCACCACCATGTGGTAAATTCTCACTGTTTTATGACTATTTCTGCACCCTTTCCCTGCCCTGGGGAGACCAACCCATCCTCCAAAGCTGGTTCCTCAAGCTCAGAAAACCCAGTCCTTCATTAACGCCCTCTCCATAAACATGGGTTCACAGGAGGTAGAGGCTGCAGCTTTGGGGTGTCAGTGAGGTTCATGTACCACATGGAATCGTATGCAACATTTTGGGGGTATGTGCATTTTTCTAAGGAGCTGATCCATCGTATCTAAGATAAGATTCTCCAAAGGCCCATGACCTCAAATGATTGAAGAAGAATGAAGATACTACCTCTCTGGGAAGGAGGTTCTACGAGAAGGAGGTCTTGCCTCTGAACTAATTTCTAATGATGGGGAGGTTGGGTGGATAGTGAAGTGTGAAGAGATCATCATGAGCTAGAATAAAAAAGGAAACAAATCACACTTTGCTAGAGAGTATCCTTTGGGATGGGGTAGTTCCATCATGTACTAAGTCAAAGAGGACGCATTACTGGAGGTCTGCGGGAACCTCCTCTACTTCTGTGCCTGCTCCCAGCTGCGGCTCAATGAGTGCTTGCTTTTTCAGCGGACACGCAACAGTGGAGCCCAGCGAGAGCTGTGAGCATAAGCAAAAGCCCACGCTTGGGCCAGGAAACAGGATGGGTCCCAACACCTTCCTCTCAACCAGTGATTGCCAGCACAGGAAACAGAGCCCACCGGGAGGGACAAATTCCATGACTTCTTACCATTGTCGTCACCAGAATCTGACTGGAAGGAGCTCAGGGACTGAACTTCTGAGTTGCTGCCTTTATTACTGCCTGCAAAGCAGGTCACTTCTCCTGGGTCATCAACCCCTTTGTCTTCGTGGACAGCCAGAGAGAAAGCAGAAATGACACTGGTTACCTTGTGCATATTTCCAGCCCCGCCCCCTGCCAGAGTTCACTTCTTGGGGCACTTTCATTTGCTTAGAGAAAATAATTTAGTGCACAATAGAAAACTGACTGTACCATCAGGGGCAAAGATCTGTCAATCAAGAAATTTACATTATGGATTCGAAACCCTTAACCTGTGGTAAATGAGCTTCCAAATAGCTGACAGCCGAAAGTCGCTGTTCCATCCTCAAAGGGAAGCGACTAAGTGAAGAGGAAAGCTAGGATGAAGTGGCTGGGCTGCTCTTTGCCATTCAGAGTTAATTTAGATCATTTACATGAACTGATGTGGTGTCAACACCAGGTTAAATGAGATTACTTTTAAAATAGGAGTATAAATATTTTATAGGCAAGAATGCCATTACACTAATCCGAACTTCCCTCTCTGGGGAGCGAGTGGAGTTCTCAGCTTTGCCTTCTAGAGGGCAGCGCCACATCATTTTTGGGAATGACAGCATTCGGCACTCCGGAGGACAGCAGTCAGCGGTGTGGATGTGCTCTTAGCCACACACTTCTCCTTCTTTGCCATACAAAGAGAGCCTGCACACACACACACACACACACACACACACACACACACACACGCACGCATGCACTACAGGGCTACTTTCTTATTTGATGGACTAAAAGAAGCAATAAAAACCCATATCTGGAAGTTGTCAAGTGAAAAATGAATTAGTCACCCAGAGAGTGTCTTGCCAGCTAGCTCTGCCTTGCTTAACAAAGGGGGAAATGTAGTCGATAAAAGCTCAACAATACTTTGGGGGGACATGTGAGTTTTGGCCTGAGGTGGATTCTGGAAATAAAGCTGTCACATTACAAAGTGGGTGGAGGGAACTGATCACCAGGAAAATCATCACGGAATGTGATGGTATGAAGAGACGGGGACTCGTGATTAAGGGAACAGTTGTTCTTCATGACTAGAGAAATCGCTGTTTCTTCCACAAAATGTGCAGGCACTGCAGCTCTGCATCTGCCATCAGATGCGGAAGCCACAGCAAAACGATGAGTTGGATGAGCAACCGATACAAGTGGACAGAGATGCCAGGGAGATATTCACCTCCCAACAGCCATGTGGCAGAAAACTTGTGCCTTGGAAAAGCACAAGGTGGGCACCAGGCTTAGCCCTGAACACAAGGAAGGAAATGCCAAATGATCCACCCTGGTGAGTATAGTGCTGTGCACAAAACTCCTTTCTCCACTCTTCCATTTATTCAAAATCTTCACTGCTAAATGAAGGAGGCTTTCTACTAACCAGGGGATTGGCAAGGCTGCAGTAGAGTCTAACTCTACCACTAATTCGAGAGGGAATATATTTATGGTTAAAATCCAAGGGGAAGGACTTGAAGTGTAAGTGTGTCTACTCAGAGGTGGAGTCAGCAGAGAGCATAGTTGGAGTGGTACTAGAATAGAGGCTGTCCTCCATCATCAGGAGACTCTCTCCCTCTCCCGTCCCTCTCCCACTTCCCTGGTAAAGCTCCCAAGAGCGGTCTGGGTAAAAGCACAGGCTTTGGACCCTGATGCACCAGATGCCAATCCTCACCCCTCCCTTTCCTAGTTACTGCTCTAAAGTAAGTCATTTCACTTATCCACTCCTCCAATTGGTCCCATGTGGGGCAGCTGTGGGGATTTAAGGAGACGATCCAGCACATGGCAGTGGTGGTTTTTCATGTTCATCTGCTGCCTCTGTTTTCTCACCAAATCTCTTCGTCCTTAACCCTTGCATGCTGAACTCTGTCTTGAGGACTCATTGGGACATTCTTGAGATCACTAAGAAACTTCTAGGTGTCAAGTGCAGTATTTTGTTAAGACTGTGTCTTCCTGGATGGTTTTACGGTGCTCAACCCTGCTGACCTTATTGCTGACCTTATTGGCTTCTGCTTGGCTGCCCTTTCTGCTTTCCTTGCCCTCTTTTTGTTGACATGTGTTTTGTTTCCCTTCCTGGCCCCAACTCCCTGCCCACCTCCCACATGTAGGCATCTCCAAGATCCTTTCTGAGGCCCAGGTGGACCATCCTCTCTCTGTTCCTGCTCCCCCGGTGAGCTCATACTCTCAGAGATTCAATCATTTTTCATGTAGTTGGTGTCCAAACTTTCACCTCTGGCTGCCCTCCTCCTAAACAACAGAGCCAGACACCCTCAGGTAACCCCTCACGTGTCCCCTGCACTGACTGAGCTGCTTCCTGTTCCCATTAGGCCCTCTCCAATAGTTTCCTACTCAAATCTTACTCATGCTTAAAGACACCAGTAGGAATGCCCCCTTCCTTCATGGAGACGCCCTGTATCTCCTTGGGTACATGTGCTTTCTAGCTCCATTTGAAACCAGCCTCCCCCCTCCCCTCTTTACCCCGACATACATCAAAGTACTGTAATCCTAGCCTTTGGAAACTCCTGCTACCCAGGGTGTCCCTGCTACTCGAATATAAAGCCATTAGGCCTGATGAAAAGTCGTAGGATACAACGGAGCTTGCCTTAGTTTCATTCTGACTGATGTTAGGACAGAGAAAGCAATCACCACCTCTCCCCAGGTGTTCATATAGGACAACAAAATGGTCTCTGCTCCCTCCCTCTTTGGGCCTATTTAGTCTCTTCTCCATGGATCAGTCAGAGCCATCCTTTAAAAATGTAAATTAGATCAAGCTACTTACCTGATTAAAAACTGCATTAGGGTTGCTGTTAAAATGTATCCACTCTCCCCGCTGCTCACCAAGCTCCAATTACATTGACCTTGTCTATGTTCTTCAATATACTAAAGTCTTTCCCACCCCAGGGCCTTTGCACTTGTGGCTCTTCTGTTTGCCTAGAATTCTGCTGTATGAGGCCAAAAGGAGAGGGAAACACTAGCATCTGGCCTGGACCACTTTTCCTGCTTGTGGTTCACCTTCTTGTTTCCTGAACCCTGCATTCCAGCCAAACAGACGGACTTGGTTTTCTTCTGATCATGTGGGTGCCTCTATGTGGTGGAACACCCTCCTTTTCCTGGACCTTTGATCCACCATGGTCCAACTCAAATGTCCCTCTGCTCCCCTCAAGTCTTCACCCTAAGACTAGAAATACTCTCTTCTGACCTTCCATAGCACACTTCCTGTATATCACATAAGTGGCTATGCTGCTTGTTTTATTGCCAATGGTGTGCTATTGTGAGAAGAGCATGGGTTCTACCTAAATGGGAAAAGAATTTGAAAAAAATAGATACATGTATATGTATAACTGAATCACTTTGCTGTACACCTGAAAGTATCACAACATCGTTAATCGACTATACTCCAATATAAAATAAAACGTTTTTTAATTTAAAAAAAAAGAAGAGCATGGGTTTTAGAGGCTGGCAGCCCTGTATTGGAGTACCAGCTTCCTCTTACTAGCTGTGTGATATTGTGCACATTATGTATGTTCTCTGAGCCTCATTTTCCCCATCTGTAAATGGGGATAAGAACCAGGGCAATATTTCAGGGCTGGTGTGAACATTCAGGGTCAGAACATGTCCTACTGAGAGCTCTGTGCCTCCGGGGCGCTCTCCCTTCCCGAATTTCCTTCCAGTAAACACGAGCGGAAGAAATAATGATGCATTACTACTTCCGACTCACTTTCAGTTCCGGCATCCCAGCCATTCTTCCGGATGGAATCGCAGTCAGAACGGCAGGGGGACACGGCAGGGAGGTTGGGGGCCACACTGCACACGACCACACCCCGCCTGGCCGTCAGGATGCGCGGTGACTCGGGGTGAAATGTAGTCATCTCCTGGTGCTCGCCGCCCAGCCCGTCCACGATCTTGTCCAGGTTGCTCCTGGAGTCGCTCTGGAAGCACGGGGTGTAGGCCATGGGGCGCACAGGGACCTGCGGGGGCCCCACCTCCTGGTAGACGTTGCGGCTGTCCCCGCCGCCCCGCAGGTTCCGGAATGGAATGCCGTTGCTCTTGTTGAGCAGGGCGGCCGTAGCAGGGTCCTGCACCAGTGTGATGTTGTTGCGGGAGTAGTTCTTGCGGAAGACCTTCTTGCGGAAGAAGATGAAGAGGATGACGAGGACGAAGATGACGCAGAGGACCACGGCGATGCCGATGAGCTCCTCCTTCCCCACATAGGAGTGGCCGGCCTGGATGTTGGGTACCACGACGGGGCGCAGGCCGCAGTACTGCCCCACGTAGCCTGGTGTGCAGTTGCAGAGGAAGGAGCCAAACACGTTCACGCAGGCGCCGCCGTTCTCACACTCCTCCCGCTCGCACTCGTTGACGTCCTCCTCGCACCTTCGCGACAGAACACACAAAAGCCCCCCTCAAACATCAGGACCTGCGGACATTCCATGTTAAACCGACATCTTTAAAGGAGAAAAAGCGGACTTCCCTGGTGGCGCAGTGGTTGAGAGTCCGCCTGCTGATGCAGGGGACACGGGTTCGTGCTCCGGTCCGGGCAGATTCCCACTTGCCGCTGAGCGGCTGGGCCCGTGAGCCATGGCCGCTGAGCCTGCGCGTCCAGAGCCTGTGCTCCGCAACGAAGAGGCCGCAACAGTGCCGCGTACCGCAAAAAAAAAAAAAAAGAGAAAAAGTACCTAAAGGGTACCTGAAGCAAGACAAAAATGATGTGATGCAGTGTATATGGGAGGTGGGTGAGCATTTATGCGCCCACCGTAGACCCCGGTGATCATCATGCATTAAGGGATTTCTCCCAATGCAGTCTCTCCCACATTCTGACCCTAGCGGGTCGGAGGAAGAAAACGGCTGCCATGGGAGAGACGAGAAGGAGCAGAAAAAGAAACCACAGATGCTGTTGAAGACGTACTGGTCTCCAAAATGCTCAGGGCCAGATGCATCTCAGAATGTAAAATTTTGCAATTTTAGAAATGACATACAGTACATACCTTTCATATTACGTAGAATACCCACCCCATCCCAGGAACTGGTGCTGACATAGGCCCCATAGTCAAATATGCCAGTGTTTCTACAGTAAAACATACGGATATTCACAATAAATGAGGGAAATAAAGACTAGAAGTAGCCTCGGAATGGGTTTGGCTGACTTTGCCACCAAATTAGTTTGCCACGAATTTATCCTCAGTCCTTTTAGTTCTCAGAGCTTCTGGTATTGTAGAGCTACACTTAAAGAGCTGTGAAGCTAGACACCCTATAATAGAGTTTCCAGGGAGGAGAAAGTTTTTGGTTCTGACATTTCTCTCTAATGGATACAGTCATTTTTGGTCTCTCTGGGAAGCAGGGGTAATAGGGTGTATGTAGGCAGTGGGTGGAGGGCTAAAGCATCGTATCTTCTGGATTCTATGCTTATGTTAAAGGCTAAGGCTAACGCAGATTATCAGGAAAAATGATTAAAGCATTCTAACGAAAAATAAATCCATTTTATTCTCTTTAAAGCAATCCGTGACTTGTTTTGAGTATAATTATAAGGCAAACATGTAAGTCTTACTCTTTCTTAGTTTAACATTATTTAAGAACATAGATCTTTCTTCTTCCCTGTCCTCTACTTCCCCAGTTATTCTGATATGTTCATTTTAAAAGGCCCGATCACTTCTATCTTTGGTAATCCACCTTTTAAAATGTAGTCAAATGTCCCTAATTTGAACAGATTGAGGCCAGGTCAGCTGGAAATTAGTCAGAATCACAGAGTATTTAAAAATAAATGCAGCTTTATTACTTTAAATTACATCCAACAATTCAAAGTCAGCTAAGTATTTCCTGGTGAAGTCCTCGGGAGATTTACTTTAATGAATACGTAAGACTGATCTGTAATTAGAATATCACTTTGCTTGAGATTACGTATACATATATATATATATACTTCTAAAACCATCAAGGATAGTTGAAAGCGTTGTTTTACTAAGAACTTAAAACATTCCCTTTCCATTCGGCTCACAGTTTAATTTCCCTCTTCCTTGGGGGAAAAAAAGATTTGCAAAGGAAACGTAAGTGTTCAGTTTCTCAGAATGATCATAAAATGCTAGAAAGTAGAGCCCAGTTTATGAGTTCTGGGGAAATGGATAGTATATCTGCCTCAGAGCTATACTGGAAATATTAGGGGTCAGAGAAGACTTTCTTTAAAAGGATTGTTTTCCTGATTACAGAACACATAGTAATTGTATAAATTTTTGAAAATATAGAGAAGTATAAAGTAAAAATATAATTAACCCATAACCCCACTACCCAGAGATAATCCCTGATAACATTTTAGTCATTTGTAAGCACGCTTTATATTCAGATATTAACCCTTTGCCCATCCTATGAGTGGTGAATATTTTATGCCAGTTAGGTGTGTTTTTTTTGTTGTTTTTTGCTTTAATATTTATTTATTTGGCTGCACCGGGTCTTTAGTTGCAGCGTGCAGGATCGTTTTTAGTTGTGGCATGCGGGATCTAGTTCCCTGACCAGGGATTGAACCCGGGCCCCCTGGATTGGGAACGTGGAGTCTTAACCGCTGGGCCACCAGGGAAGTCCCAATCCCAGTTAGTTTTTTACTGTTTGGTTTTCTTAGCAACAAGAAGCAGCGTAGAGAAAGACTAATTGCACAATCTCACTTACGTGACTCCAGTGAGCCCAGCTTTGCAACTGCAGATGAAAGTGTTTCCTATGGGGTCACAGGAGCCTCCATTCCGGCAGGGGTTTGGGAAGCAGGCTGTGATCTCCGATTCACAGTTTCTCCCGGTGAACTGGGAGAGACAGGTACACTGATAACCTGGAGAAACAGAGGAACTCATGAGCCATGGATGCCACTGGTAATGCTCAGAGTGCACGGACTCGGCCAGACATGGCCTAATTCCTCTGAATCAAATCTTAGGCAGGGCCCAAATTCCCAAGATGATTAGCAAATTGGTTATTTTGAACTTGGAACCCATCTTGCCACGAAAATGCCAAGTAATGGTTTGGAGCTTGTGCTAGTCCACAAAAATTCACCTAATTAACCACGTACATGAATGCTAGTGAGAATGGTAAGCGACACCCAGGGAACAGATCCCCAAAACAGAAACCAGGATGGGGCAGAAGATGCTTTCCCCACCAGGCTGCTACTGTAAAAGGTAGGATGTCTCCATGAAGGAGTTTATCATAGGTTCCATACTCATTTCATTAGAACTCATTCTACAGTAGCTTCCTGAGAAGGGGTTTATAAGAAGTCAATGTTGTGAGACCTTGAACGTGTTTTTACTCCACCCTTACACTTCTTTGATAATTATGTATGGAATTCTAAACAATTCCCTCTATGTTACTTTTGAGAAATCCAAAGTTGTTTTGGTTCCTGAAGTTTGTGTGTGACCTAGTTCCTTTTGTCGCTAACAGTTTGGAGGGGCTTCTCCTGTCCCCAACAATTTTCTGAGCTTTCACAATGATGTACACTTAACTTGAACCAGTACTGGGCTCTCACAATTTCTCTCACTGGAAATTGTGAAACTTTATTGCACTGATGATTTCCTTTGTTTTCTCTATTCTGTTTTTATGGAAGTCTTATGGTTTGGATCTTAGATCATTTGGATCTTCCTTTAATTTTATCTTTCTCTCATGTTACACTTCTGTGAGGTTTTGCTTTACTTTCCGAGAGAGTTTCTCATCTTTTGAAACTTTTATTGAGATTTTCATTTATGTTATCATAAATAGTTTCTTCCAAGTTGCTTTTCTCTGTTTCTGTGATTTGGTCTCTGTGAAGGTAGATTTTATGTATCAAGCTGATTAGGCTACGGTGCCCAGTTATTGGTCAAACACTAGTCTAGATGTTGCTGTGAGGGTATTTGTGGATGTGATTAATGTTTATAATCAGTTGACTTTAAGTAAAGCAGATTACCCTACATAATGTGGGTGGATTTTATCCATTCAAAAGAAGGCCTTAAGAAGAAGGAATGCTGCCTCAAGACTGCAACACAGAAATCTTGGCTGAATTTCCAGCTATGAGGATTTCAAAGTAAAGACTGAAAAATCTACTCTTCATGAATTTCCAGCCTGCTGTCCTGCCATATAAATTTCAGACTTGCTAGCCCCACAAACTTGTGAACAAATTTCTTAAAAATCAATCAATCAATCAATCAGTCAGTCTATCTCTCTCTCTACCTACCTATCTATAATGTACCTATCTACCTTTCCATCAATCATCTATCTATCTGTCTATCTATCGTATTGTTTCTGTGTCCCTGGAGAACCTTAATACAGTCCATCTCTTCCACATGAGAGGATTTCCTTTTTCTGGTAATCCTGGCTTATCAGCTCATATTGAAGAGTGGGGTCGAAGAAAACTAGAAATCGAAATCTGATAGGAAGCTCTAAGCACATCAGTGGAGCTTGTCAACAATACTGTGTCAGTACCCTTGGGTTGCTCAAGGTTGGTTAATTTCCACATTAATGGCTCTATCATCTGCCCAGAGGGAGGGTAAAGGCTGGTTTCTAATGTTTGGGGGAGTGGGTGGTAGTAGAGGAAGAGTATTTGTGGGTCTCAGCATCCAACAAGCACATCCTATTTACTTTGGTTTGCAAATAACCATCCCCACTCTTATTTGAAGGGCTCTTGGGCTAACCTCTGCTCCCCAAGTGGTCAGTGACTGATGCTGGGATATTGTAGATTGATCTCTATAGGTATAAGATAGCTAATAATCTATAGATTGAAATACAGCATGCTCTCATGGACGTTTTACTGAATCCCCACTCCAGAGAACTCTCACATACAGGAGGACATGATGACTGTGTGTGGGTGTTCATAGGTTTGGAGAGAGAAGGACTCATCTTCAGGAGGCAAGTGGAAGAGGCAAGAGAGAAATCTTTACACTCCTAAGAGGAAGGAACTGGGTAGCCCCAGCCTCCCTGGCACTAAGAACCCAGAGGGCCAGAGGTTGAGGCTCTGAGAGAGAGACATAATACTCTTGAATGCAACACCAATGAAATACCAGGGAACTAATATATAAGGAAAGACCACTGTTGATGCAAACTGTGTCCAGAGATGGGCGGCCTGAAGTCTATGGGCAGGATGCATTAGTCTGGGGTCTGCTTGCTTCAAATTATGCTGCTGACTTGGGGTAATTTTTTTCCCAATTTGGGCAGTTGCTCACCTAAATGGAAGTGGGGATTGCTGAAAGCAGTTGGAACTGGGAAAAATGCTTCTTTTTGTCACCTGGCTAGTCTTTGGTGAGGATGGCATGCCATTTAGAGGGAGAGTGACTTGTGAGAATGAAGTCAATTCCTTTTAAGACTAAAGGGTGGGGCGGAGCAACCACAGTAGGGAATCTGCAAAGTAGGGCAGTGATGAGTAGGGAGGGCAGTCAGGAGGGGGAACCTAAGGCAAGGTGGGTGAGCTCAGGTACAATTCCTCCCTCTCCAGCTCCTATTTGACAAGCCCTGGCCTTTTCTCAAATAAAACCATAGCAGCAGTAGTAGGGGGCCAGGGAGGGGCAAGGAGGAACTGTCTGGAAATAAGGGACATTTGAATCACTATTATGGAAACTGGATTCTAACGAGGGTCATGGGCTTGATTATTTTGATTGGGTGTCTTTCTGCCTTGGAAAATCAGAATTTAAAATGAGGCACTCCCGTTGGGGCTTCCCTGGTGGCGCAGTGGTTGAGAGTCCGCCTGCGGTTCGTGCCCCCGGGAGGATCCTACATGCCGCGGAGCAGCTGGGCCCGTGAGCCATGGCCGCTGAGCCTGCGCGTCCGGAGCCTGTGCTCCGCGACGGGAGAGGCCACAGCAGTGAGGGGCCCGCATACCGCAAAAAAACAAAAAACGAGGCACTCCCTCTAGTGCACTGTTTTACTCTCACACATTTCCTTCTGCATTTTGTCATTTTCATTACCTTCTGCGGGATATCCAGAGCTACTTGATGCAGCCGTCAGCCTGACTGATTAACCTATTCACTGAGTGTCTAAGCCATCGGCAGCAGTGTGCTGGAGCCAGCTCATCTAGGGTGGAGGGTACTGAATTTTAAGTATTCAAGAATTGGGCAGACAGTTACTAAACCACTGGTAGCCTGATGCCAGCAAGGCTGAGAATATTTACACCACAGAAATCAGCAAACACGGCAGATCAGGGCTTTTGTTTTTAGAGACTTGGTTTTCCAGCACACCCCTGAAATGGGGACTGGGGATACAAAGCCAGAAAAACACCATCGACGAGCACAGAGAGCACTACTAACTTTGCACGAGGCAGAAGCCCTGTTCTACCTCTGAGAAAACTAGCTGTCCATTTTGAAGAAGATGATGATGGTGGTAGCTAACATTTAGTGACATTTATTATGGACCAAGAACAGTTCTAAGCACTTTACATGTATTAACTCATTTAAATCTTAAAACAAGCCTTCAATGAAGGTACTATTATTATTCCAATTTTATAGATGAGGAAACCAGGGTACAGAGAAGTAGAGTACTTATTTGCAGTCATGAAACTAGTGTAGACTTGAACCCCTGTAGTCTGGCTCCAGAGTCTTGAGTTGTTCAGTATTATCCTGAATTGTAAGTTTAACAATCATACTTTATTACACTCTCTATCTGGATTTCTCTGTTTATTAAAAAGAGAAGCAAACTTTCTAGAATCTGTTCTCGTGATGTCAAACCCATGGGACAAGGGAGGCAGAGACCCTTTTGAAGAAATCTTGCCTAAAAGCAAGAAAAAACTTTAAATTTGGAGGGATTTTTATGTCAACATGATGAAAGGGAAAAGCAATTGGATTTAAAAAAGTGGTCAGATTTTCTTTTTTAATGAAAGAAAAGTTATATTTGCTATTTAGCCTTTGTGAAAGAGGCTTGTTGATAAAATTAACCTGTTCTAATGAAGCATTATTTATGATCTCATTATCCTGGCCTGGGCCTTATTATTAATAATTTTTAAAATGTCAACAAGTCTGCCATAATGATATTAAGTGATGTAACGTCTAAAATCACTTTGTCATTCTATGAAGGATCACAATAATCCCATGAAAGGTAAATAAGAGGCCCCATTAACATCCCTACTCTATGGGGGTGCTGGAGAGAATAGTGGCTTAGTTCAACTATGTATAGCTAGTAAATGATCAGTTTGAACTTGAATCCAGGCTTTCAGATTCTCAAATCTTTCTACAAGACTGTATTGGCATTGGAATTTGTCAGTAAGCCAGAACTCACAACTTACTAGGAATCAGGAGGGGCTTGTAGTTACTCCCCACAACTCTCCAGGGAGCCAATGAGATGCAGTGAGATGGACAGCATCAGACATCCTTCTGGGAGCCAAATAATCATCAAATAATAAAGCTAATAGCATAATAAAGCTTCTGCTCTCCCAAAGCATTACCATATGTTGATATAAAACACAAATAGAGGGAACAGAATTCCCAAAGATAGCCAGGCATTATTTGATCACAAATAATATTTTAACACTTTTGTGAATGTAAAAGAAAAATAAAATTCAGTGGATAATCTCAAAGTCTTATTAGAAAGAGTAGATTTTTTGTCTTGGGTTGGGGGAGAATGTCAAATAAGTAAACTATCACCAAGAACAGCAGCTTATTATGTGCTAGGAAAAATGCTAAGAACTTTCCATGCATTATCTCACTTAATACTTGACAACAACCCTCTGCTGAGAGTACTATTATTTTACCAAAGGGGAACTGAGGCTTACATAAGATTGTTTGCCCAAAGTTACACAGTCAGTAAGTGGCAGATGCTACTTCGTACCAGTTTCCAGATGTAAAAAAGATAACTGTCACACTAGCACTGAAATACCTATTAAAAACA